GATTCGATACGATCCTGATACAGTTTATGCTGCGGAGACCAAACAACTGAGCAATACGCACAAACGAAATTAATGAAACTTTTTCAATTTCAATTTTTTTGCTTTAAATAAACATAAAAAATACGTTCACAAAACATACAAAACTTTAGGCTTATCAAATCAAATCCTCAAATTGCTAATATAATTTTTAAGCTAAAATTTCATTATGAATACCTTCAACTTCAACATACACAGTGGCATTAAGATCCCATAGAGTTATTGCTAGCTGATAAATTTAGTTGATTGCGTTTTAAAATACGAAAATTAGTTGTTAAAAATCTCTAACACATACATACCTCATTCTTCTGCTTTCTGTCTAAGTAGAGTTTACGGCTTGGAAGCTTTAGCTCTGCCTGGAATCCGCTTTTGGGATCTTGATCTCCATCTATAATGCCCACTAGGTAATTTATGTATAATATTGCTAGCCTTAATGTTTTTATCTGTGAATGTTACATTAAATATTAATACGTAATATAATGTATGTAAGATGATTATTTTGTAGAATTTCATTTTCTTATACCCTGAACCCATTGAAAATGAAGTCAGGGTATATTGGTTTTCTTAAAATGTATGTAATGTTATCTTGATCAGGGCGACGAGCTGATTCGATTTGGCCCTGTCCGTCTGTCCGTATGTTTGAACGCGTCGATCTCAAGAGATGTAAGAGCTAGAGACTTTTTTTTTATTGTCCGTATATATAGCGCGCTTATCGAGTTTATCACCAAAAAACCATAACTCATCCCGTAATTTTGTTATCGATTAAAAGCCTTATCGAAGGCTAGTTATTTAATTTTATCTCCTACACCTTTAGAAGCAGAGTCGGCAAATTTTAAATGTAGACTCATATGTAATTTATATAATTTCGATTTTTGTTGTAATTTATCCCCCACCCCTATATTCATCCCCTCACCGTTTCCTTTGTAAAAGGCGTATTTGAAGTACTAGAGACTTGTGCTTTGGCACAATTTTAAAATTATTATTAATTATGAATTATTAAACGTATTTATTTGGGCTCAGGGGCTCGTAAAATATTAAATGGAGCTTAATTATTTTTTTATCTTTATTTACCAACGCGAAATACAAGTATATGTTTTAAATGAGATTTCCCGAAAAGGCATATAGTAAGATACTTCTAAAATTTCTGTAGGCGTACATATGTGCTCTCGAGTAGCCTCTGCTTTCAAAGTGGTAAAAAGTGTCACTGGTCACCGGTAATACATAAGAATATGTGAATATTAATGTTATCGAAATAAAATATAACAAGAGTTCTTCAGTAGACACTGCTCGACAACGAGGTCTCCTGAACCTTGCAAAGAGCATTTTATGTTTACGTTGTATATACCTAACAATCAACACACAAACATAATCACAGCGACAGCACTTGGGGTGAACCACTAACCAGACAGCACATAGATTAGACATGTAGAACCAATTTTTTTCACGCCGAAAAATCTGTTTCGTTGGAACCAACCAACTTCGTATTCGCTCGGCTCGGTATATTTGGCTCAGAATAATGACGAATTCCGTGCGCTGCAAGCATTCAAACGAATTCATCCAGTTGTATGCGCTTTGAGTTATTTGTCTTAATCTCTCTCACCTCTGTCTTATCTCTCTCTATGCGCTCTCAAATCATAAAGCTCAGCACGGCAACAAATTTAAATTTGTTCGCAACGATCCCAGCTCTTTCTTTTTGAGTGAAGAGGATACCGAAATCTTAAAAGCGTTTCCCTTGCATATGCAAATAGGCGTTTCGATGATTATTTGTGGGAAGGGAATGAAAGTGTTGATGCGTACAAAGAATATGAATTTCGCGACGGGCATGCACACACACACTTGCAGTCCCTTACTACATGTATGAGCATTTGTCTGTCTGTGTACGAAACTCTTGACGCCTGTGCAAAAAGTAAAGTCGAAAATTTAAATTCTGTTGTAGGCTTTAACTTTTGGTATATCAAATAGCTAGAGGCCTGAAATTTAAATAATTTTTTCAATGACTTTTTTATTATTATTTTTTTTATCATTCACGAAAGGGAAATGAGTATATTGGTTCTATCCAATGTCCGTCTTGTCCGTCCTTCAACACGTGTATATCTCCGATTTATTAAATGCTAAAATTTTCCCCATGCGCCCATTTTCCGATATGTCAGAAATCATATTAGTTGAAGATTTAAAAAGCTAAAATTTGTAATGTGGATCCGCATAAACCACCCAAGATCACGTGAAATGGCGGATATCGGATAAAACTGTATCTCCTAAAGTATTTAAGCTAGAACGTTAAAATACACGTGAGCTAATGTTATGACTCTATAAAGATTGATGATAAACACAGGAAAATTGTTTTTTTTTTTTTTTCATCATTCAGTCAACTTGACTGAAACAATCTTCAAGGTCTTAGAAGGAAACAATATTGATAAAAAAAAAAAAAAAAATATTAGACATTGTTCTTGTCAAAATACTTACCTTAGATAACTTAGTATCAGAAGGAACGTTTGGTATTCTCTCGCGTAGGCATGAGAACGCATTATTAATACTTTGTGTTCTCCTGCGTTCTTTTTTATTAGCTGTATTTCTCTTTTTAATAATTCGAACAGTTGGATGTGGAATAAAATTAAGATGATTGGTGGATGAATATATTTCACCGGCACCTTTGATGTTGGAGTCTAAAAAGAAATTTAATAAAGAATTGAACGTTTTTTTATGCATAAATATTAAAACTTATTTATGAACAAGTAAGAAAGCTCTAGTCGAGACTACTCGACTACGAGATCCCCTGAACCCT